TTTGGAAAAAACTGCTGTTTGAATTTTAACCTTCTAGTTTGGCCCCTGCATCTGATTAAAACACAGAGTACTTACCTCAGCTTCCAGGCGAAGACCTGGAGGCTAAGGCAATTTTCCCTTGCCTGGAACCAGGACCACGAGAGAATGATTCCCACTGACTCAGTAGCTTCAGGGATAGAAGCTGGAGATAACCTTTAGGGACTAACTGCTGAGCTCTGCTTCTGTGCTATCGCTATGGCAAGATAGGGTCACATTCCACCGTCCAGCAGGACGTGACTGGGAGCAGACCCTGCTGGCTGTCCCCAGTCTTTAGAATTTAGTCTTTAGGATTTTAGGAACAAAAGGAAAATTCTTGCGGTTTAAACCTTTAAAAGGAATTGCCTACCCCTGAAACGGTGCAGTCGTGTGGAGACCACCTGGGTGTGGTGCTCTCGCGGCTGTCCTGGCCAGTTCAATAAATCCTTGCCTGCTTTTTTTTTTTTAAATTAATTAATTAATCAGCCTCCGGTGGTCTTATTTTGAACCCAGGGTTCAACCCCACAACAGGGTGGCCTGGGGGTGGTCTGGGGGTGGCCTGGGAGTGGCTTGGGCTTGCCTAGGTGGTATGTGGGTGGTTTGGGGGTGGTCTGGGTGTAGTGTGGGGGTGGCTTGGGGGTGGTCTGGGGTTAGCCTGAAAGTGGCCTGGAGGTGGTTTTGGGGTGATCTGGCGTTGATCTTGGTGTGGTCTGGGGGTGGCCTGGGTCCTGTCTGAGGTGGTCTCGGGGTGGCCTGGTGGTGGTCTGGGATGTTCTGGGGTTGCCTGGGGGTGGTCTGGGGGAGGTCTGTGGTGGTCTGGGTGTGGCCTGGTGGTGGTCTGGGTGTGGCTTGGGGGTGGCCTGGGGTGGTCTGGGGGTGGTTGGGGTGGCTTGGGGGTGGCCTGGGGTGGTCTGGAGGTGGCCTGGGGGTGGTCTCGGTGTGCTGTGGGAGTGGCCTTTGGGTAGCCAGGGGTGGCCTGGTGGTGGTCTGGGTTGGCCTCGGGCGGTTTGAGGATGGTTTTGGGGTGGTCTGGATGTGTCTGGGTGTGGCCTGGTGCTGGTCTGGGGTGGTCTGGGTGTGGCCTGGTGTGGCCAGGTGGTGCTCTGGGGGTGGCTTGGGGGTGGCCTGGGGTGTCTTGGGGGTGGCCTGGGTGTGGTCTGGGGGTGGCTTGGGGTGGCCTGGGGGTGGCCTGGGGTGGCTTGGGGTGGCCTGGGGGTGGCCTGGGGTTGAAATATAGAGGCAACCATACTTTGGTAAAAACTGCTGTTTGAATTTTAACCCTTCTAGTTTGGCCCCTGCATCTGATTAAAACACAGAGTACTTACCTCAGCTTCCAGGCGAAGACCTGGAGGCTAAGGCAATTTTCCCTTGCCTGGAACCAGGACCACGAGAGAATGATTCCCACTGACTCAGTTGCTTCAGGGATAGAAACTGGAGATAACCTTTAGGGACTAACTGCTGAGCTCTGCTTCTGTGCTATCGCTATGGCAAGATAGGGCCACATTCCACCGTCCAGCAGGACGTGACTGGGAGCAGACCCTGCTGACTGTCCCCAGTCTTTAGAATTTAGTCTTTAGGATTTTAGGAACAAAAGGAAAAGTCTTGCGGTTTAAACCTTTAAAAGGAATTGCCTACCCCTGAAACGGTGCAGTCGTGTGGAGACCACCTGGGTGTGGTGCTCTCGCGGCTGTCCTGGCCAGTTCAATAAATCCTTGCCTGCTTTTTTTTTTTAATTAATTAATTAATCAGCCTCCGGTGGTCTTATTTTGAACCCAGGGTTCAACCCCACAACAGGGTGGCCTGGGGGTGGTCTGGGGGTGGCCTGGGAGTGGCTTGGGCTTGCCTAGGTGGTATGTGGGTGGTTTGGGGGTGGTCTGGGGTGGTCTGGGTGTAGTGTGGGGGTGGCTTGGGGGTGGTCTGGGGTTAGCCTGAAAGTGGCCTGGAGGTGGTTTTGGGGTGATCTGGCGTTGATCTTGGTGTGGTCTGGGGGTGGCCTCGGTATGGTCTGGGGCTGGCCTGGTGGTGGTCTGGGATGTTCTGGGGGTGGCCTGGGTCTGGTCTGGAGGTGGTCTGGGGGAGGTCTGTGGTGGTCTGGGTGTGGCCTGGTGGTGGTCTGGGTGTGGCTTGGGGGTGGCCTGTGGTGGTCTGGGGGTGGTCTGGGGTAGCTTAGGGGTGGCTTGGGGGTGGCCTGGGGTGGTCTGGAGGTGGCCTGGGGTTGGTTTCGGTGTGCTGTGGGGGTGACCTTTGGGTAGCCTAGGGGTGGCCTAGTGAGGGTCTGGGGTGGCCTGGGGGCGGTTTGGGGGTGGTTTTGAGGTGGTCTGGATGTGTCTGGGTGTGGCCTGGTGCTGGTCTGGGGTGGTCTGGATATGGTCTGGGTGTGGCTTGGGTGTGGCCAGGTGGTGGTCTGGGGTAGTCTGGGGGTGGCCTGGGGTGGCCTGGGGTGGCCTGGGGGTGGCCTGGGGTTGAAATATAGAGGCAACCATACTTTGGAAAAAACTGCTGTTTGAATTTTAACCTTTCTAGTTTGGCCCCTGCATCTGATTAAAACACAGGGTACTTACCTCAGCTTCCAGGCGAAGACCTGGAGGCTAAGGCAATTTTCCCTTGCCTGGAACCTGGACCACGAGAGAATGATTCCCACTGACTCAGCAGCTTCAGGGATAGAAACTGGAGATAACCTTTAGGGACTAACTGCTGAGCTCTGCTTCTGTGCTATGGCTATGGCAAGATAGGGCCACATTCCACCGTCCAGCAGGACGTGACTGGGAGCAGACCCTGCTGACTGTCCCCAGTCTTTAGAATTTAGTCTTTAGGATTTTAGGAACAAAAGGAAAAGTCTTGCGGTTTAAACCTTTAAAAGGAATTGCCTACCCCTGAAACGGTGCAGTCATGTGGAGACCACCTGGGTGTGGTGCTCTCGCGGCTGTCCTGGCCAGTTCAATAAATCCTTGCCTGCTTTTTTTTTTTTTTAATTAATTAATTAATCAGCCTCCGGTGGTCTTATTTTGAACCCAGGATTTCACCCCACAACAGGGTGGCCTGGGGGTGGCCTGGGGGTAGTCTGGGGGTGGTCTGGGTGTGGCCTGGGGGTGGCCTGGGGGTGGTCTGGGGGTGGCTGGGGGGTGGCTTGAGGGTTGCCTGGGTGGTATGTGGGTGGTCTGGGGGTTGTCTGGGGTGGTCTGGGTTTAGTGTGGGGGTGGCTTGGGGGTGGTCTGGGGTTAGCCTGGAGGTGGCCTGGAGGTGGTTTTGGGGTGTTCTGGGGGTGGCCTGGGTCTGGTCTGGAGGTGGTCTGGGGGAGGTCTGTGGTGGTCTGGGTGTGGCCTGGTGGTGGTCTGGGGGTGGCTTGGGGGTGGCCTGGGGTGGTCTGGGGATGGTCTGGGGTTGCTTAGGGGTGCCTTGGGGTGGCCTGTGGTGGTCTGGAGGTGGCCTGGCGGTGGCCTCCGTGTGCTGTGGGGGTGGCCTTTTGGTAGTCTAGGTGTGGCCTGGTGGGGGTCTGGGGTGGCCTGGGGGCGGTTTGGGGGTGGTTTTGGGGTGGTCTGGATGTGTCTGGGTGTGGCCTGGTGCTGGTCTAGGGTGGTCTGGATATGGTCTGGGTGTGGCCTGGGGGTGGTCTGGGGGTGGCCTGGGTGTGGCCTGGGTGTGGCCAGGTGGTGGTCTGGGGGTGGCTTGGGAGTGGCTTGGGGTGCCCTGGGGGTGGCCTGGGGTGGCTTAGGGGTTGCCTGTCGGTGGCCTGGGGTTCAAATATAGGGAAACCATACTTTGGAGAAAACTGCTGTTTGAATTTTAACCCTTCTAGTTTGGCCCCTGCATCTGATTAAAACACAGAGTACTTACCTCAGCTTCCAGGCGAAGACCTGGAGGCTAAGGCAATTTTCCCTTGCCTGGAACCAGGACCACGAGAGAATGATTCCCACTGACTCAGTAGCTTCAGGGATAGAAGCTGGAGATAACCTTTAGGGACTAACTGCTGAGCTCTGCTTCTGTGCTATCGCTATGGCAAGATAGGGCCACATTCCACCGTCCAGCAGGACGTGACTGGGAGCAGACCCTGCTGGCTGTCCCCAGTCTTTAGAATTTAGTCTTTTAAATTTTAGGAACAAAAGGAAAATTCTTGCAGTTTAAACCTTTAAAAGGAATTGCCTACCCCTGAAACGGCGCAGTCGTGTGGAGACCACCTGGGTGTGGTGCTCTCACGGCTGTCCTGGCCAGTTCAATAAATCCTTGCCTGCTTCTTTTTTAAAATTAATTAATCAGCCTCCGGTGGTCTTATTTTGCAACCCAGGTTGGACCACACAACAGGGTGGCCTGGGGGCTGCCAGGGGGTTGCCTTGGGTTCTTTGGGGTGGTTTGGGGGTGGTCTCTGGTAGCCTGGGGGTGTTTGAGGACGAGGCAGCACCTTGCACCCCAGTGTCCGCGGCAGCAGGTGAGTGGCCGCAGCTCAGGGACATAGTGGCCTCATGTTTGCTCGGCCGCTGGGCTCAGCTCACAGGCCTCTTGGGGTGTCCCAGGCGGCCTCTTGGGGTCCCCCCTGCACCGGGCTGCAGGTCCCCCAGCTCCCTTGTGCCTGTGAGACCGGAGGCACTGCCAGGGCCCAGCACCTGTTTCTGGGGGGTGGCAGGATGGGCCCCCATCGCAGTTCCCAGCACACCCCATCCCAGGAGCCAGGGGCCGGCAGGCCAGGGACAGGCAGCGCTGCGGTTGAGTGCCCTCCCCCATCAGCCCCAGGGCGGGTTCTGTCTGGGAAAGGGCCCCGGATGCCCCCAGCCCCAGCCCCGGGGCTAGTTGCCTGTGGGATGGGAGCCTTTGCGGGGGGAACTGGGGGGGGAGCTGAGGTGTCACGTGCCGCGGGGCCGGCCTTGGCTCCGGGCACAGGCCAAGCCGGGCCCTTAAATAGGGTCCCCCCGGTCCCCGGCTCTGCACATCCTGCAACTCCCGCTCGGCCTCACTGCTGCTCCCGCCTCCGACTGCGACGCCGGCTCAGCACCATGGCCGCTCCGTGCTCCCTGTGGATGGCGCTGGTCCTGCTGGGGGCCCTGGGGGTCCTGCCGGCACCGGCCCGGGCCTCAGAGCAGCCCGGCTTCCAGCGGGACCAGGTGGGGCCCCCTGCTGGTCCCCCCGGGGAGGGCTCTGTGGAGGGAGGGGATCTGCCTTGGCTGTCCCCCGGGGAGAGGACCCACCGGCCACGCTGCCCCTTCCCCGGAAGGAGACGGTGCCCACCCCGTCCAGCTGGTAAGCCCGTGTCCACAGGCGTCACTCAGGACCCGCAGACACGCCGGCCCCTGCCTGCCTTCCCTCCAAACATTCACCCTTGGTGCTCAGTTGCTGTGGGAAGCATGCTCGGAGCTGGGACACCCCCGGGCGGGAGACACAGGCAGGGCGGGGCTGGGGGCTGCAGAAGCGGCGTTGGTTCTGCCCGCCGCCCTGCCCTTCCCTGGAGCGTCCAGTGTCATGGACACCAGTGGCCAACCCCCAGCCCCTACAAACTGCCCAGTGCCCTGTGCTCCCGCTCCGCAGGGTGCTCGGCTGGGGGCGGACTCCCCACGGGACATGAAGGGCGGGGTGCCCACCAGGCGGCCCAGGGGGCCCTTGCTGACGGGGGCCCGTTCACAGTTCCTGGGGCGATGGTTCGCCGTGGGCCTGGCCTCCAACGCCAGCTGGTTCCTGGAGCAGAAGGACAACCAGGCCATGTGCCTGATCGTGGTGGCCCCAGCCGCGCCTGAGCATGGGCAAGGCGTCCTCAACCTCACCACCGGCTTCCCCAGGTGGGGCGAGGGGGGGGGGAGGCATCGGGGCTGAGGGCTCCCCTAGGGCCCGGCCTGACCCCGGCCCCGGGGCTGGCTGCCGGCCAGAAGCCCCACGCTTGACCGTGCCCTGCCTGCAGGGGAGAGGAGTATGAGACCCGGAGCATGCTGCTGACGCCAACAAACACCCCCGGCCACTACACCTACACTGCCCCCTGTGAGTGGACCCATGCAAGCAGCCTGGACGCACTGGGGGTGAGGGTACCCCAGCCCAGCAGGCTGAGAGCCTCCCCTTCGGGCTGGCGAGCCTGGCGTCTGGCCTGGATCTGCCCTCAGCTGGGGGAGGGGGGCTCCGGACCCACCCGGGAGCCAGTCATGCCAGCCCGCCCTGCCCCGTGGGGTCTCCCCAGATCTCGTCGCCCCCCTGCTGGACGGGCAGGCGACAGCACCCCATCCGGGGCTCCTCCCTCTCCGGGCGATGGGTCTCCTGCCCCTTTGAGCAGCGGGGCTGGTGGCTGCACCCTGACCCCCTCGTTGTCTGAGCCTGCGTGCTGGCTGCCCCCGGCTCCGGGTGGGAACGGGCGGGGGGGGGGGTCCCCTGGCTCCGGCAGTGCCCAGGCTGTGTGGGCAGGAGGTGGGGGGGGAATGCAGCCGGGGTCGGGGCCGGTGGCCCATGTGGTCACTGTGGCCCGCAGACTCGGGCATAGAGCTGCAGGACCTGTGGGTGGAGACGCACAAGAAGTACGCGCTGCTGTACACCGTGTGCGCCGACGGAACCGGTTTCCACTTGGCCACGCTGTACAGTACGTGCCCGCCTCCCCCTACCCTCCTGCCCCCACCCCACTTTGTCCTCCCTCCCAGGCTCCCCCCCACCCTGTACCCCCCCCCCCCGGCCTCAGGCCCACCGGGAGGGCACGCCCACGGGGGAGGCAGAGCTGAGGCCTCCGGTCCCGTCCGCCCGCCCAGGCCGCACTGAGACCCCGCAGGACGCTGTGAAGGACAAGTTCACCGCCTTCGCCGCCGCCAAGGGCTTCCCCAAGGAGGACATTGTCTTTCCGCCGAACACGGGTGAGGGCCACCGGGCGGGCAGCGGGCTGCAGCCGGTCAGGGCGGACAGTGTCCCCGCTCCCGGAGGCCACCCTGGGCAGCGGCGTGGCCGACACAGGGGCCATGTTCTCCCCACAACCGTGGCCAAAAGCCCCCTCCATTCAGCACCCCCGGGGGGAGGCCCTGTTGTCCCAGAGTCAGGCGTCTCCAGCGGGTGGCGGCGGGCGCTGTGGGCACCGGGGCAGCAGCACGTTCAGGCCCGAACGTGGGCGCCCAGAGGCTCAGGCCTGGGCCCTGGGGGTCAGGCCGCCTGTCTGCAGCGAGGGTTGGGGAGGGTTGGGAGTGATGGAGCTGGGGGAGGGGGGGAGGGGAGGGGCGGGAGTGGCCCTGACCCAGGCGCTGACCGCCGCTGTCATCGCCTCTTTCTCCGCAGGCAAGTGCATGTAGGGCCACCAGAAGGTGAGTGGACTGTGGGCTGGCCTCACCCGCCATCCCACCCGCCATGCAAGGGGGTCCCTGGCCTGCAGGGGGCAGCCCAAGGGGCGGGGCTCCCCTGGGGTCCAGCGAGGCAGGAGGGGCTGGGGCTGGGGCGGGATCTGGTTGGGTGGTCGCAGGAGACCTTGGGGCTTGCCCTCCCTGGTAGCCTGGGCCGCTGGGGGGCTGCGGATCCTGGGATGGGTGCAGTGGGTGCAGTGGGCGGGGCAATGGGGCGGGGCAGTGGGTGCAGTGGGGCGGGGCAGTGGGGCGGGGCAGTGGGTGCAGTGGGGCGGGGCAGTGGGTGCAGTGGGGCGGGGCAGTGGGGCGGGGCAGGGGGGGCCCTGCTCCAGCTCCTTCTGTTCTCAGGCAGGTGACGGGCCCTCAGGACCTGGCCGGCCGCCCTGCTCCTTCCTCCCCGTGACCCCGAGTCCCAGCCCTGGCTCCCCGCCCTCCACTCCCGCCCTCAGCTCTGTCCTCTGACAATAAAACCTAAAGCAGCTGCAGTGTCCGTCTGTCTGTCCTGCGGTCGGTCCCTGTGGCCGCCTGGCCTGCTCTGGCCGCTCTGCCCGCGGGGCAGGCTGGGGGGCAGGTCAGGGGGGTGTCCGCCCTCCCGTCGGGGCAGATGACCAGGCGCTAGACCTGCGCCTTCAGCCCCTTGGGCGCCGGAGCCCGCAGGCCCTGCCCCCCCCCGGGCTCCGGGCGCAGGGGGGACGGGAGCCACGCACGGGCTCTGCCCGGTCCACGTCCTGTATTCAGGCTGTGTGGTCGGGTGTCCGGCATTAGGCGCTGTGCCTGTGTCTGAAGGCGCGGGCGATTCCTCCGGGAGGGCGGAGGCCGGTGTGCAGGTCCCGGGGCGGCCGCCGGGGGGCCACCGAGGGGCGCAGAGGCACAGGGGGCCGGGCGGGGTCTGCACCGAAGCCGGGAACCCGGGCTCCCGGGCGGGGAGGGGGGCGAGTGAGGCCCCAAACAGGAACCGCCGCTCCGCGGCCACAGGCGCCGGAGCCGCCACCGCACGGCGCAGCCCAACCTCGCTCCACCCGGATTCCCGCCCGCACTCAGCCCCGCCCCGCACCAAGCCCCGCCCCACACCAAACCCCGCTCACCGCCATAGCCCCGCCCCAATCACACGGCCCCGCCCCCACCAAGCCCCGCCCGCCGCCACAGCCCCGCCCCACTGACGTGACCACGCCCCAGGTGTAGCCCCGCCCCTCGTCTTCGCCCTGTTATGAAGCCCCGCCCCGTTACACAAGCTCCGCCTCGGTCCCACCCCCGACTTGGCCCCGCCCCCAGTTCTCGCCCGTGACGAAGCCCCGCCCAGAGACTATCACCCCCACTGAGTTTGACTGGCCAGGTTCAGGCCCCGCCCCCCGCTCAGGCCCCGCCCCTGCCTCTTGCCCTGCGCAGGCGCCTGGGCGGTACGGGCCCGGGAGGGAGCATGGCCGCGCCGCCGCGGTGGGCCGCGCTCTGCACGCTGCCGCCGGGCCCGGGGCCCCCGCGCTTCGTGTGCGTCTGCGAGGAGGAGCGGGGCCTGGAGGAGCCGGGCGCCGGCGGCCCGGGCGGCTTCCGCCTGCAGTGAGTGCGGCCCCGGGGGCGGGGCGGGCGGCTCCCGGGCGGCCGCTGACAGTTCCTCCCGCAGCGTGACGGACGGCGCGCGGCTCTGGAGCACCTGCTTCCCGCCCGCCCGCCTGGCGGCCCTGGTGGGTAACGGGCCCCGCGGTGGAGGCGGGCGGGGCCTGGCCCCGGCTCTGAGCTGTCGCCCTAAGGCTGGCTTGGGGTCCGGGCGCTCCGGGTCGGGCAGGGTTGGGGGCCCCGGTGGCTCGGTGACCGCCCCTCGCCCTGCAGAAAGCCCGATGCGGCCTGAGCGCGGCGGAGGACCTCGCCCCCCAGTTCCGGTGAGCCCCGCGCTGGTCGGACGGACGGGCAAGTGGGGGCACGTGAACTTAAACTCCTTCTCCTGCAGCGCGCTGTCCAGGTAGCGGCGGACGCCCCGCAGCTGGGCGGGGATGGGGGCCCCCGGAAGTGCGCGCACACCGTCTGTGGGGTCGAGGCGCCGGCTTGGTCAGGGCCTCGCCGCCCGCGGCCCCCGCCCGCCCGCCCGCGGCCCGGCCTGGCACGTACGTCCACAATGTGCAGCTTGGGCAGCAGGCCGCAGTCGGCCAGCGTGAGCTGGTCCCCGTCCAGGAAGCGGCGGCGGGACTCCCGCAGCCCCGGCTCGCGGGCCAGCTCGTCCTCCAGGGGCGCCCGCAGGTAGCCGTCCAGCCTGGCCAGGGCGCGCAGCAGCTGCTGGTACAGGGCTGAGGTGCGGGCGCCCGGTGAGTCCCGGCCCGGAAGGCGCCCCTGTCCCTCCCCGAGGGGACCCTCTCCAGGGGACCCTCCCCAATGGCGCCCCCTCTTTTCTTTTTTAAAATCAATCTTTATTGTTCATAATATTACAAAGGATCCTCATTTCTTCCCTCCTCCACCAGGTTCCCACCCCACCCTCCGCCCCCTCCCCACCCCCCACTGTCCTCATCCATAGGTGCACAGTTTATGTTCACGCTCTTCCTCCCTTCCCCCCCCCCCCAGAGCAGTCAGTCCACGCCCCTCCCATATCGCTGACTCTACTACAAGGAACCGCTATTGTTGTTTATCAGGTTTTTCAATCTCCTTTTTTTGTTGTTGGTGGGTTTTTTTTTTTAAATTAATAAACTTTTACACTTCTAAGAATAAATTTTAAAATCTAATAATTTTAAACCTTGTTTTTTTTCTGCCCTGGGAATTGAGAGCAAACTTGTTTACATGTAAACTTGCCCTTAGGCTATCAAAAGGTGTAGCCATTCAAGTGTAAATGGACACATTGTTTAAACATAGCTGCTGGCTGGAATTGGATTACCTGTTCTGGGTGGGAAGGGCTTGTCATTCCCTTTCTCCATTAAAATTAAGGTGTTAGCTTTAAAACCGCTTTTTGGCAAGAGACCTTAAACTTTCAGAGCTTTAAATTTTTCAGATAGTAAATCAGTTACTTAGCATTTTCAAAATCAATAATACCTCCACATGCCCAAGGATACTCTTCACACCAAAGACATTTCCAAATAGATCAACCAACCTCATCCAGGCCCCACACAAGGCACTCACAGATCAACACCCCAGCGCTATACTAACTCAACACATCCAGATCTAAGCCTTCCTCACTTGATTCAGCAGACCCTCAAGTTCCTGCAAAAGTTTCCAGCCATGTCTGAGAGGCAGCCGTGGGGCGGAGGCAGGGGAGGAGCGAGCTGTTCTGGGCCTGGCTGCTCCGGGCCTGGCCTCTGTTACAATGGTCCGTTCCACAATAAGCTGCTCCGGGACTGGCCACTGCCGCTTCGGACATGGCAGCATCCGAACTGGCTGTTCTGGCCACTGGCCGGTTTGTTACTGGGAGGGAAGAGGGTGTGAGGAGGTGCAGAGGGGAGGGTGGCCTGGGCACAGGGGAGGGCATGGGTGTCACCTTTTGAAGCCGGGGTTGATGAGGGACTCTCCGGGGCTGTGCCTCCTGACCCCAGGCCCAGGGCCGCCTCTCTGAGAATCTGGGTCTGGGGGAGCAGGAGGGAGGGGGCTGCATATCGTGGGACCCCAGCCCCTGCCCCAGATAGCGCCTCTCCGGAGCCTGAGCTTTGTTCTGGGGCCGCGGTCGGCAAACATCAGCCAACAGAGCCAAATATCAACAGCACAACGACTGAGAGTCCTTTGGAGAGCCTCGTTTTTTAAACTTAAGCTTCTGCTAACGTCACTTCTTCAACACAGACGTGCCCAGGCCGTGGTGTTTTGTGGAAGAGCCGCCCTCCAGGGGCCAAAGAGCCGCATGTGGCCCGAGAGCCGCGGTTTGCCCACCATGGTTCTGGGGCAACGAGTCCCAGAGGCATGGGCACAGCCCAGGCCCGGCCCCGGGAGGCCTTACCTGGTGAGAAGGGCAGAGGCCCCCCTGGCCGCAGGCTCTTCCTGGGGCTGGCGGCCGTCTCCTCTGCGGCTGCGAGGGGAGGGGAGGCCCGGAATGGAGGCACCGCAGGGGACCCAGGAGACTGTGGGGTCCCCCCTCCCCGATCCTACCTGCCAGCTGCCAGATGGGGTGTGCTGGGCACTCGGGTGGGGGCCCCTCCTGCCAAACCCCAGAAACAGGTGCTGGTCCCTGGCACTGCCTCTGGTCTCACAGGCACAAGGGAGCGGCGGGGACCTGCGGCTCGGTGCAGGGGGGACCCCAAGAGGCCGCCTGGGGCACCCCAAGAGGCCAGTGAGCTGAGCCCAGCGGCCGAGCAGACATGAGGCCACTATGTCCCTGAGCGGCATGTGCCCGGGGAGGGCTGGGGGAGGCGGCCACTCGCCCGCTGCTCTGGACACTGGGGTGCAAGGAGCTGCCTTGTCCTCAAACAGGCCCAGACCACCCCAGGACACCCCCAGGACACCCCAGACTATACACAGGACACCCCAGGAAACCCCCAGGCCACCCCCAGACCACCCCCAAACCTCCCACTGACCACCCCTAGACCACCCCTGTACAACACCCAGAAAATCCCCAGGCCACCCCCAGGCTACCCCCAGGCCACCCCCAGACCACCCCCCTTCCCTGGGCTGGAGAGCAGCCAGACCCGGGGGGGCAGGGCACAACTGGAGCAGCGCCCGGCAGCCCTCACCAGCCCCAGGGCCGCTGGCTCTGTCCCCTGCGGCTCTTGCGCGCTGGGAGGCCGGGCTCGGGGTGGGGGGGGGCACGCAGCTCCTTCACGTGGGAACCCCAGGGCCTGACTTCAAAAGGCCCCGGCTGGGCCCTCAGGCATGGGCTGACCTTCAACCTTAACCTGGACGGAGGGACCAGGCTGGCTCTCACCAGTTGGGACCAGCCTGAGGTCCTGTCGGAATGGGCCGTGTGGATCCGTGTACAGACACCCCCCCCCACGGTTCCTCTGCTCCCCCCACCCTGAGCTCCGAGCCCGCCTGCCGGTGCCCACAGTGTGTGGGTGCTGGCCTGAGGCTGCGGGTCCCATCGCTGTCAGGCGTGCAGGAGGCAACCCATCCGCGCTCTGCTCTCCCCTCCCTGTCCCTCCCCCTCTCTCTGAAAGGCAGTAAGAAACCAAACCAAGCCAAACCCCGTGCCCCCGCGGCTGTGAGCATGGCCTGTGGCTGCTGGCTCCTGGATAAACCGTCTTTTCTCTCCCCAGCACCTGCTGCTCCTGTTCAAAGGGGCAGGGAGCCCCCCGGGGCTCCGCATCCCGAGGGCAGGGCCAGCTCCGTGGACCCCGGGGCCCGGCCAGGCGGGAGGGTGCCCAGGCGGGAGGGTGCCCAGACAGGAGGGTGCCCTGCCCGCAGGGGGTCCAGTGAGGCCCATGCCGCCTGGGCCGGCCCGGGCGCTCCAGATTTCGCCGCCTGCCCCCGTGGTCGCCCGTTGTCGGTGCCGGCTCCCTGGGCACCCAGTGTGTGTCTGCTGGGGGACGGTGTGGGCACAGTTGGGGCCAGGCCCCAGGAACGGCTGTGCCTGGACGTGGCCTGGCCCTGGGGAGGGAGGCTGGGCGAGGAGTCAGGATGGGGCGGGGAGGGGGCAGCAGGGACTCACTGCCCAGGGCTCACCCCGCCCCCAGGCCTGGCCCCACCTGGGCTCCATCAGCTGCACGGCTGCCCCTCAGCTCCCCGAGTCTGGGCATCAGGCAGGGTGGGGCCGGGATCTGGGTGGGCTCCTGGCTGGAGGGCTGGGGTGTCAGGCAAGGTGCTGAGGGCCGGGGCTGTCTTGCTCCGCCCCCCAGATGGGGAAATGTTGGGGGGTCCCGGCTTCATGTGCCCCCTCCCGCTCCCCAGAAATAAGCAGGTCGACCGGGATCAGGGCTCTGAGCAGCTTTATCTGTAAAACCGAGAGGGTGACGTAGGGGAGCTCACCCCCCATGCTGAGCCCAGACCACGCCCGACCACGCCCGGCCACGCCCGGTCTCGCCGGCTGCCCCCTCTGTCCTGAACCCCAGCAGGCTCAGCCACCGCCGGGAGCTGGCACAGCCGCGTCACCCCGGACGGCGCTGTAGGGCCTCGGGCACGGGGACCACCTGCCGCCGCCTGGGGAAGGGCGCCGGTGGAGGCCCAGGGAGCTGTGGGTGCCGCACGGCCTCATGGGCCTGGAGTCGCACCCGGCGGCGGCCCCGGGACCCAAGCCCCTGAGATGCCGGTGGAGGCAGGTGTGGAGGGGACCAGAGACAGGCCCGTTGTGCCCGCAGTGGGGTCTGCCTCACGTGTGCCCCTGCCAGCCCCGGGGCCGCGGGCAGCTCGGCCAGCCCCCCGGGGCCGCGGGCAGCTCGGCCAGCCCCCCGGGGCCGCGGGCAGCTCGGCCAGCCCGGGGCAGCCGGGACCGAGCTGAGGGTGCGGCGGCTCAGGGTCACCTGCTCCCAGGGCTGAGTCCGGCCGAGGAGGGGGTGGAAGTCCCGCCCACTAATCCGGGCACCGGAGGAGATGCGACCTCCTGCCAGGCATTCCTCCACAGAGCGAGCTCCCAGACTCACAGACACTGGGTCCCCCCGAGAGGCGGCGGGGCGGGCGCCTGCCTGCACATGTGTGTGCACGTGCATGAGTGCGTATGCATGCAGGTGTGTGCGTGTCTATGTGCGTGCAACGAGTGTGCATGTCTTTTTGTGCAAGTCTTTGTGTTCATGTCTCTCTGTGTGCATGTCTATGTGCACACATGTGTATGCATGTGTGTACGCCGCTGTGTGAAACATGCGTGCATGAAACATGTGTGTCTGTGTGTGCAATGTGTGTTTGTGTCTCTGTGCAACATGTGTGCATGTGTGCATGTGCATGTCTGTGTGTGCACATCTCTGTGTCTGTGTGTGTGTGCATGTCTCTGTGTGTCTGTGTGTGTGCACGTCTCCGTTCTCTGTGTGTGCGTGCATGTCTCTGTGTGCACA